CACTCACAGTTCCTTGACATTCTGGTTCATCTGTGTCACAGGAACAAGTATTCATTCAAATGTAAGGATTGTCTTTTCAAAATCATTTAATATACAGTTCTGACCTTGTCTTCAGTGGACTTTGAATTTTGAGATGTTCATAGCTATGTGTCTGTTTGTCCAGTGCCACTGAGCAGGAGCAGGAAGATGGATTGCACACAGTGCCTCTGACAATAATTAAACAACCAGAAAACATCTCAAACCATTTTAAAAGCCTTTATTCACACAGGTTTCTTTGCATCTCTACCATACGATCATGGAAAAGCATACAGTGTTTGAGATCACTCTTTGCTATGTCTGTAGGGTTTTTCACTCCGCCATCCATACTTTTACATTAATACGTCTTCATTGTACAACTACGTTCAGCACATGAGGAGCTTCCAAACCAAGTCATAATTCAGCTCGAACATTTCCACGTCCATCATTCATGCTGTAGTGCTAGAATATCCTCTGACTTCAGCTATTAAGGTGACACAATTTTCACTGCTTTGTAAATTCACACAGTAATTTCACCCGAAAATGTAAAATAAAATGCAGAAATATATATATACCTCCATAGTTTTTTCATCTAATTAAAGTGAGATGTTCAACGCCCCTGACAAAAAGCCAGGCATGGTGGTGCACGCCTGTCATCCCAGCACTCGGGAGGCTGAGGCAGGAGGATCGCTGTGAGTTCGAGACCAGCCTGGGCTACATAGTGAGTTCCAGGTCAGTCTCAACTACGTAGTGAGACCCTATCTAAAAAACAAACAAACAAACAAAAACAAAAAACAAAAAACCCCCAAACAACAACAACAACAACAAAAGTGGGATGTTAATTCAATCTAACATAAAAACTGGTAAAAAAAAAAACATGATTGCAAAATGTTTGAAATATCTTAGACCAGGTGGCTCTCTGCCCTGCTGCGTCAATGTATTTATTGGGGAACATTTAAACATGTAGTGGTGGTGTCAGAATAGCATAGAATGGGTTTATTTTTAAATTTTTTGTCAATATATGTGTGAAGTGGGGACCTGGTCCATGTACATAACACACCCTATACTCTTCCCCACCACTCCCTTTTGGTATAGTCAGATTCATTTATTTTTCTTATAAATCCTTATAAAACTAATGATCATGTAACTAGACGATTAGCGGGACAATGTATAAAACACAAAAGAAAAGTATACTAAATCAAGGCACGTTTTTAGATACTTTGTTCACACTGGATTGCAACAACTTTTTTCCTGTTATTTGTCTTTTATTGAACACTTCATTTTACATACTGAATTGCTCAGCTAAGAGAAATCCATATGATGCCTACATTTATAGGTCTGATTTACTTCATTTAACATTATGGTCTAAGGTGCACCTGTTTTCGCACAAATGACTCAAGTGTATCCTTCTTTATGGGGGAGTAGGACTTCGAGGTGTGTAAAAATGTCATTTTATTTATCCAGTCATCTGTTGATGGACATGGAGGCTGTGTCCACGATTTAGCTACTGTGACTTGTGTTGCTATAAACATGGGTGTGCACACATCACTGTGGTATGACGCCTTTAACTCCTTTGGAAGGACAGCTAGAAGGGGAGTGGCTGGTTTTAGTTTTAGTTTTTTGAGTAATCTCCATACTGACTTCCATGGTGGTGTTACCACTCTACACTCCTGCTGACCATGAAGTCCTGCAGTCCTGCCAGCAATGGTCATTGGTTGATTTCTTGATGGTAGCCATTCTTTCTGCAGTGACATAAAAATCTCAGTGTTGTCTGGATTTGCCTTTCTTGAAGAGTATGTGGTTTTTAAACATTTTTTTTCATGTATTCATTGGCAATTTATACTTCTTCATCTGAGAAATGTCTATTCATTTAAGATGCCCATTTTACGGTTAGGTATTTAAATTTGAGATAAGCCAACTAAGCCAGGGAGATATCCAAGAAGTGGTACAGCTGGGTCGAGTTGGACTTCCATTTTTTCAATTTAGAGGACTAAACATACTGGTTTCTGTACTGGTTGTACCAGCTTACATTTTCACGAACAATGTAGAAGGGTTTCTTTTCTCCGCACAATCTCATCAGCATGTACTGTTTCTTGAGATCTTGGGAGACATTCTTTCTGGAGGAAGATGGAATCTCTTTGCTGTTTTGTGTGCATTTCTCTAATGGCCCAAGATGCTGAGCATTTTCTCAGGTACATAATGGTGATTTGTATGTCATCATTGGAGAGATGTCATTTCAACTTTTTAATTGGATCATTTATTTTTTGGTGTAAAATTTTTTTTAGCTCTTTACATATTCTATATATATATTATTAGTCCCTTGTCCAAGCAGTAGCTGGTAAAATTTTTTCTCTTTCTCTATATTGTCTCTTCATTTGGTTGTTTCTGTTGGTGTGGAAACATTTTTAATTTGAAATAATCCCATTTTGGTATTATTTCTTGTGCGATCAAGATTCTGCTTAGAAAGCCCTTGTTTATGTCTCTGTCTTCAATAATTTTGCCTATTTTGTACTCCCTCATGATCAATGTTTTTGTTTTTATGTCTAGGTATTTGATCCATTTTCATATGATTTTAGTATGGGGTGAGGGATCTAGGCTTATTCTTTTACACACAGAATTGTGCTTTCTGATTAGAGACACAGAGTATCATGACAGATGATTCTCTTCCTTGTCACTCCAGGAAAAGAACACCTACTGACTGGCTTTTCTTTTGAGGTTCCTAGTAGAGCCCAGGGCAGAGTCACCACCGGCACTGACTACATCTGCAGAAGGCAGGGTGGCTACAGATCACAGCCAAACTCATAGAAAGGCTGGGTACATAATAACTGAAGACCAGTCTCTCACCTCCATACGTGATAACACGACATCTATTCAAATCCAACTCCATTTTGGTAAAAAGCCCAAGCAATTTCAAAATGAATATCAAATTTTTTTTCTCAGGTATGTTTTTGCTCGAGAACTTGGAAAGTGTTCTATAGTGTACCTGGGATACCTCAGGGGTTAATTCCTCTGAACCTGTGCTGAAATCATTCTGATAGCTAGGAAACAATTAAAATGATTATTACACTCTCAGAATTTTTTAGAGGGTGACAATTTAATCTCAATTCCTGCTTATTCCATTTATTATTTCTGTGACATAAGGACATTTATTCGTGTCTTTCAGACATTGAATTGGTATGTATCTGGATTTCTAGTTAATATAGCTGCATTACATATGGATTAAATATATAATTCTGGATCCTGATATGATCAATATGTGACAAATGCAGAAAATACTGGAAAGTAAGCGATATTATTGGTGTAATTAATTGTCACATTATTTTTATATTATCCTGTGACCCCAAGTTATGGCTTCCCCTGTTCTCTAGTAAGACATTTCACTGTACCACTGAATGAGTTAAATTTTAAACAGTTCCTAAGCCAAAGCAGAGGGTTGCTCCATCTCCTTCTATCTTTTTCATATTTATGAAAATATCTTCCAGGAATTTTGAGTAACTGAATGTGGGACTTACTTTTTTTTCAAATAACATTCCCTTTGCATCCACAGCACAGACACAAGTGAGTGCTATTTTATCTTATCTCTGATATTTGGGCTTGTCCTGGAAAGGTGGATAATACAGACATGATAAGCACAGGATAGGGAATTGATATGCTATGCTCAGAGATAAAAAAAATCTAATAATATTCAACAGAGATTTTAATCCTTAATGCCTGATCTCTGTAAGTAAAGGACAGCCTCTAGTGAGCTTAAATGACCGACGGTTACTCCTCTCCAGATATTCAGCATTTACTTAAGGACAAAAATGAAATGTGAAAATGTTGTGCGCATACCCACTTTTATAAGAGCACAGTTCATAATGACATTATTAAAATTTATTCAGCCTTCCCTACCTAAAAATGTAGCATATTTTATGTTGACATGTTTTGAGCCTTCGTCTTTGCCAAATAATTACGATTTTGTAATTATGGCTTGAACAGTATGCAGAAACTGTAAAACACAGCTCAGTACCTCGCTTTTAGGAAGCCTTCTATAATGCTTCACGATGCTGTATTTACTGACATCCTTTCTCATCCTTGTTGTAGCCTTCAGACTCCTTCTGGAGTACTTATGAGACGGTGTGGAGGGACCCATTTTCTACTGTAATGGGTCAGGCGTCCACCGGAAGTTGCAACAGTGCGGGAAGAAAGCAAAACGTTGAACTAGAAGTCTGGACTCCCACCACAACCAGAAACAAATGTAGCACCGTCCTTGTAGATTACATTTTACATGTGTTATCATCCCATCAAGTCACTTAGAATATTGTGTTTGTCTGATTAGCACGAAACACTTCCGATAGTCCTTGCTCCAACCATCACTTCCCTCAGCAGTCCCTGCGGGAGGCTGAATCTCGGCTGGGTGAAGGAGGGGTACGGCTCACCCCACTCTGCCCAGCTCCTCCTGCCAACCCAGACTCTGCCCTCAGATTTACCACAAATGCCATTTTAGGAGTTTCCTGTTGCAGACAAACGTGTCTGCAATACACAACTGCACATACAGTTATGAAGCCCACCGGAGAGGAACCGTCAAGCTGCAGGAAGGGCACATGCTGATTTTTTACTGTTACACAACATTGAAGATTTAAGGTACATAATTGAGAAGCAGCCAAAGCGATCTATCTTATCCAAACCTCTAGGAACTTCCTAATATTTCTGGAGGAAGAAGAAAAGCACAACATCTCCACAAAGGGCTCCTCTACTTTGGGAATGGATGTTGTTCATAATGTTCACTTGATTTGAGTTTTTTTTCCATTGAGTTAGTTTATTGGTACTTTTAAAGTATACAGTATAGTTACATTCATCATTGGCATCTTGTACCTACACATGACAGGTCTTGGTTCTCATTTTTTCCCCATTCCCCTGTCCTCCCTTCACCCCCTCCACCCTTCCCTATTTACAAAAAACTTTGTTTCCATCTTTCATTTTCTCATATTTTTTATTTTCCCTTATTTCCTTTCCCCTACCCTTCCCGCTTCCCCTACACCTTTAGCCTTTTTCTTCCTATTTCACATGGACTTGATATGAGTCTTTACATTTTAGAGAATCATCTGCATTTTGTTTACATTGCTTATGGTGGGAAAGCATAAATAGCAAGATTTATCATTTTAAGTATTTAAGCATATAGTACAATGGTATTCATTATATTTACATTGTTGTGAAATCATAAATATGCACCAATACAAGTATGTGTTATTCCCGGAAATTTTCCACACATTTTTTTAGAGTTCTTGTGCCTCTCTTTTCCGTCACTGTCTACTGTGCAACTTGCTGAGGAATTAAGCTTATAAATTACAAGCAGAGGCCAAGGATGCTGGAAGTGTAGATCTACAAGTTTGCATTTATTGCAATATTTCAACTGGTTGCACAGGTCCTAGAAAGCCTCTTCAGGGTGGTTTTAATGTCCTTATTCCTCAAGCTATAATTGAAGGGATTCAGCATAGGGGTGACCACAGTGTACATTACTGAGGCCACCGCACTCTTCCTGGGGGATGGCAAAGTGGCAGAACCAAAGTATTCTACAAGACCAGTTCCATAAAATAAACAAACAACTGACAAGTGAGACCCACAGGTGGAGAAAACTTTATACCTTACACCTGATGATGGGACTCTCAGAACAGAGGAAACAATTTTATAGTAAGAGGAGAGGATCCCTGAGAGGGGAAGAATGCCAAATAGGACACCAAGAAAATAAATAACCATATTATTTCTAAAAGATTCAGCACAGGCAAGATTCAGAAGTTGAGAGGGGTCACAGAAGAAATTGGAAATTTCTATGCCTTTGAAGTAGACAAACTGTAAGACAATCAAATTGTGGAGCTGTGAGTACAAAAGGCTAATCAGAAACGATACCAACACTAAGAAGTTACAGACGTGAGGGTTCATGGTGGCTGAATAATGCAGGGGGTGGCAGATGGCCACAAACCTGTCATAGGCCATCACACTCAGAAGCATGTCATCCATACATGCAAAAACAACAAAAAGAGACATCTGTGTCAGGCAGCCCACAACAAGTGTTTTATTGATGCACAATTGTCCAAGACTACTGTAGTCTTTAATGACAGGGAAGTAAAAATGTGTCTCATCCCAAGCAGTTGGGATTACCTTCTATATATGCATATTTTAATTTTTATCCATAAAAGTCTCTGTTATGGTCTATAAAAACCATAATGTTGTAGATGCTGTTAATTGGGATTCCGAGATTTCTATATCTATGACATAGAAAGAAACAGGAGAGTTATATTGTTTTGTCTCCATTTTGGGGGAGAAATTCCTGAAAGGGTTGGCAGGATGCACAAGAAAATAAAAAATGTTAAAGCCACAGTTATTATGAAGCTTTCCCTGAAACAAGGTAAGTTCTGTTCAGTGCTTCTATATTATATTTATGATGTTTCCTCTGTGGAAAGCACATATAAAGAATAAAAATGAAAAAAAAAAGAGTCATTCCTCATCTAATACAAAGCATAGTGACATACAGACAAAACATGACCATCACAATACAAACAGTAAATCAGTAACTTCAGGTTATGGAATATTTTGGTTGTATTAGGTATGATGACTAAATGAATTATTATTGACAATGTTTAAATTTCATTTTACACTTATTTTATACAGTCCTCACCTGTTACGTGCACAGACAGCACGCTCTGTCTATCCTAAGTTATATCAATTAAAATCCAACTCATGACAAAACTGAGGCCCAGAGGTATGAGCAACCTACCCTATGTCACAGAAACAATAAGTAGAGCTAGCAGCCTTAAACATACATTTCTCAGCAGCCTTAAACAAACATTTCTCAGTCTCTGGATCTGAATCAGTAAAGATTTTTAATCATTTTCTAACCTTCAGAAGGTTTTTAGTGGAAGTCCAGAACCTTTTACAATTTTACCCTCTTTGCAGATTGCGGACTATGAATCAAATAAGGGTGTGAGACTTTTTTTTTTTTTCACTTTTTTAGAAAGCAAGTAAAGGAGGATGAGCTTGGCAGCAAATATATGGAAATATATGGAAGGCAGGCAAGGGAAAGGTATGCTAGATGAATTATCATGAGCCTACCTCTTTTGTGATCACTGCCTATGATCTATGGATATCCTACCAACAGGTCATGCAGCAGGTAGCAACCACTGGGATCTTCCTGAAGGCCTCACAGAAAAGACTTACGAAGGGTGTGAAATGAATTGTTTGTGTTGTCAACAAAGCAGCCAAGATTCTACTGGCAAGAATTTCTTCTTTTATAATCAGACAACTCAATTCAAAAATAGCTTTACTCTATTACAAACTGTGCCGCTATAAACATGGGTGCGCATACATCACTGTGATATGATTCTTTTAGTTCTTTTGGCATGTGTAAATACTGAATAGTTTCTCTCGTGTGAATAAACTGTAATAATATATAAGATCCTAATAAGATTACTGACATTGTGAAATGGGAAGAAAAGGGCTAAAGGTATAGGGAAGGTGGGACGGGTAGGGGAAGGGTAATAAGGGAAAAGAAAAAAATGTGAGATAATGAAAAGATGGAAATAAAGTATTTGTAGATGGGGAGCGGAGGAGGGGTGAAGGGAGGGCAGGGGTAGGGGGAAAAATGAGAACCAGGACCTGTCATGGAGAGGTACAAGATCCCAATGATGAATGTGACTGTACTGTATCCCTAAAATGTACCAATAAACTCAATTAAAGAAAAAAAATAGCTTTACTCTTTTCTACTTAACAACATAGTCAAAGAAGAATAAATGTGAGTCATTTGTAGGTAAATTGATGCAACTTGAGCCCGTAATACTAAGTGAAATAAATCAGACACAGATCCCATCACATGGTTTCTCTCATTTGAGAAACATACAGTGTCAATAATTTAAAGGTAAAATAAAAATATGATAAGAAATGGGGAGATGGACTTCGTGGAGGTGGGAAGGAGATCTGAGGATGGGGAGAGACAGGAGGGAGGGGAAAAGAGAGGAAGCAAAAAGAGTCAAGACGCAGCATGTATATATACTGGGACCACACTGAAACACTGTTTCCAAAGGCTGTGATTCTTCCTTTTTTGTAAAATAATAATAATAATTGCACTTATGCCTAGAAAAAAAATGTAGAAAAAATTATACAGTGACACAGAACAGCTGAGAGCCTGGCACTTAGGCAGTCTTTGATGAGGGCCTCTTGACGTTACAGTGACTGTCTTACTCTTTCTCATCTTGTACCGTGGATGGCACCCACACATCGTAAACGCTTTTTAACACCTCTGGAAGGCCTCCGTTTCTATTATCAAGAAGAAGAATGGCTTTGGGAATTTGAGACTGTGTGGAAGGGAAGCTAAAGGCCGAATGGGATTTTTTTGAGAACACTCACCACAACCTAAAACAAAACCTTCACAGTCCGATTGCCTGAGATATCGCACACTGGCATCCTCCTGACTGTACAAAGTGCACATTTGACACCCGTCCTATAATGGGCAAGCAGGCTTCTGATAAGTCTTCCTCCATCCATCATGTCAGTCAGAGCTTACAGGGTTAGGCTGCATTTATGCTGGGTCATGAGCTAGAGCTAGGATCCAAGGCCCCTCCTTGGCCAAAGTCCTTGTCAAGGCTCAGGGGCTGCGCTCAGGATTTGGTATGAATACAATGTGCCTTAGGAACTCCTGACACAGAAAATCACAGAGGAGGCATGGAGCGTTGGCCCTGCTGGGACCACCCATGTGCAGGTCTGGAGGCGCAAGCTGATTATTTTCTATAATGAGATATTAGAAGTTCCATGCACAGAGCTCGTAATTAGCCAAATTGGTGCAACTCTCTAAATACTTCTCACATTAATGAAAGAGGAAGAAAAGAAAAAGTACATGCCCCTTTCATATTTTGGGGATCTTCATCTAGCAAGGAGGAATCTGATGTGAACTATTTATTTTCTTTGTTTCTTATAAAAATAAGATACAGCTGCATTTCATTTCTAATGCTTACTATCTTAAAATATAAATACCACAAATTACCATTTTGAGCATTTTTAGTTATACATTTCAGGTACATTGAATATGTTCATATTGTTACGCAGCCATGAAACCATCCATCCCCCAAAACTATTTGTCTTCCCAAACTGAACATTTGTCCATATCTTAAATTTTCCCCATGGCTTCCTTAACCCAATCTTGTTTAGCGTATTATAATACTGTACGTGCTACGACAGAAACATGTCTGTAAGTGTACTCTCTGGTGGATTGGGGCAGGCATACACACTTGCGTTAACACCACAACCAAAACAGAACATTTCTACTACCTCTCACGAGTTACCTCAAGTCCCTTTCTACCTAGTTCTCACCCATCCACCTTCAACCCTAGGCAGCCATTGATCTGCTTTTATTACTGTATATTAGATGAAATTATTCAGTATGTATTTTATTTGTGTAAGTCTTACTTGACTTAGCACAGTACCTGTGAGAAGCATCCATGTTGCTGCTTGAACCTGTAGTTCTTTGCTGAGTAGTATTCCGCTGTATGAATATTCTATACTTGTTATCATTTTCCTATTGGCGAGGACCTGGTCTAGCTTTAGTTTGGGGCTGTGATGAAGAAAGTGGTTATGAACATTTATTTAAAAATAATGCTGTATGTGAAACACTATGAAGAATTAAAACCCATACACAACAAAAATACTGCAAACAAGGAGGCATGACATACATCTAGCTGTTTGATGTGCTGCCTTTTATAGTGTATATGTAGTGTACATTCCAGGTCATGAGATCAGACTGTTCTGCTGTGAAGCCTTCTCACAGTGTTTTTAACATCCCTGGTTCTGTCTACAGATGAAGGGAGTGAGCATAGTGGTGACTAAAGTGTAAATCCATGAGGCTTCTGCACCTATCCTGGGAGAAAAGGGCACAATGAAAAATTGTAGACTCCAAACTGATTCCAAAAAATTAAACAAAAAAAATGACAGATGAGACCCTTGTTTGTGAAAAGGGGATTCCCAGATGAAAATGGGATTCTTATGATGGAAGACCAATTTTCTAGTAAGATAAAAAAATTCATATGATAGGAAGGAAAGCAAATATGGTATCAAAGAAATAAATGACTAGGTGATTGATAAATTTATCTGAGCAGGCAAGATTCATAAGTTGAGAAGAGTCACAGATGAAATTAGAAATTTCCACATCCGGGAGAGAAACTGTAAAGCAAATTATACGAATGCAAATCCAAAAGCTTGAGCAGAAAAGACACCAAAAACAAGAAACCAAAGAGATAAGTGTTCATGACAAATACCAGAGAGGGTGACAGAAGGCCACATACTGATCAAAGTCCACAAAAATTGGAAGATTACCCTCAAGAGACCTATCTAAGTCAGGAAGCCTTTACAAGAGAAGATTTTGCTGGGATTTTGAATTTTTGCCACCATCTTACCATGGTTGTGATGAATCAGGTGTCAGCCAAGGACAGGTTGGAGAGAAACAAGTACATGGGGGGTGGAGGTGAAGTCAAGGCTGTTGGCCAGGATGATGAGCAGGTTCTCAAGCACCAGAACCAGACACATAAATAAAAACAGTCCAAAGAGAGTGGGCTGTAGTCTGAATCATCTCAGAGGGTCATGAGAAAGAAATGTGAAAGGGACACTGGAATTTGTGGTTCTATAGTTCATGGACACCATTAAGAAAACAAATACATTAGAAATTGGAAAAAACTAGCACCTAGACTCTACATATTTTGTTTACTTGTCTTTTCCTTTTTAAAGCTTAATAAAGCTTTAAAATATACTAATATTTTTGTGATACATAGTATTTGCATTTGCTTTGAATTAGTGTATACACACACACATAATCATTTTTGATACCCTTTTCTTCCCTCTTTTTCTCCTGCAATAATTCTCCATCATCAGAAATTCTACATCTCTATTCTTTTTTTTTTTTTTTTTT